TAGTTTTGTTGCCCGGCACGGGGGAGGTTCATTTATTCCGCGGGAAGCTGGGAGGGACGGCAGCCTCTCTTTATTAAAACACGTCGAAACCGAAGCGCAGGGAGCGCACCGGTCTGTGAAATTCCCTTAGAAACGAACGAATAGTGTCAAACGTTGACGCTTTTAAAACTGTCAGACAAATCAGATATGTATTTGTTTTAGGGAAGCTAAATACAATCACGGGTTTAAAACGGATTATGTGGCTGTCTACTCGCGTTTGAAAATCTCTAGTAAAAAAAGGCAACATCTATTTTTATTTTCTTAATGTACGTTTATACAGGAAAGGATAAAAAAAAGTGCTTCATAAAACTTCAGGGCACTGCTGGCAGTTGTTTAATATACCGGTGATTAAATAAATATTGCAACCTACCTGCAACTGCTAACTACTGCAAGAACAATTTAAACAACATTGAGGGTTTTATGATGCCAAGCCAATAGTTTAGGGCATGATCCTCGGGTGACTGGTAACTTTTCAGTCCTACAAACCGCTTGCCATCTTCTTCAGGTCTCATTTTCTGAACACATTATAATACAACCTATTTAAGAGCGGCGGGCGCTGTTATTTGTATAGTTAAACTCAGCGATGCTTTATACTTAAGTGTTACTGACTGCCCTGGACAAACAGTTGCACCTGAAACAATTGAGAGAGGAGGTATGGATTGAAATGGAGGCGGGGGGGGAAGAACTGTGGGTTCTTTCAAACAAGACTGAATGCAAGCATAGCTCAAGGTATTCTCATTCTTTAAAAAACCTGGCAAAAGGCTACCTGCCTGTTGTCCAGTTTAAAAAATAAAAGAAACCACGTACAATAATTAGTTAAAGAGCAAGAAAGTCTGCGAGGCATATGAGAGCCTCAAGTGGTTGGAACATTTTGCTTGAACATCTGTTTGTCGATGCATGATTCTGGTGTTATTAATCTTCTTTGTAGGTAAGCAGGTGATTCACCCCAACCAAATTGCTGTTGTCCAGGAACAGTTCTCTCCGAGCCCTGAAAAAATAAAGTGGGCACAAGAACTGATTTCTGCCTTTGAAGAACATCAGCGATTAGGCAAGGTAAATATTTTGTTAATACGCCATATTGGAAAACCAAATTAGAATAATATGTAAGATTTAGAAAGATTGGTGATGGCTCTTTGCATTTGTCTTACGAAGCGTGCCGTAACGGAGAGTAGCGCTCGTGAAATCTGTATCTGGATAGACTATAGTCTGTGTATTTATTGTAAATGTGTCACGTCCCAATGTGTTTACAAATAGAGCAGCTATCTTTTTCTCCCCCTCCCCTCGTTTTAACTTTAATTCTTTGAGTACATAGCCTGTACTGTACCTGCATGTATCTACAGCATCGGTGAATTAAAATGCTGCAGAATCACGGTGTTACTGTCATAGGAAAACATTTGCAGTCAAAAGGCAGGTAGCCTGGCCACCGACTCAGACTGTTTGTACAGCCATCGTTTATGGAAAGAAATAAACAGATTAGCAAGTCTTGGCGTTCAAAAAAAAGTCTCTAGGTTGGTAAAACTGTTTCAGGTTTGGGGGTTTGATCCTGCAGACAGCCCTAGTAGTGAGTGAATTTACTTTTGAGCAGAACTGCTCGCAGAGTGCGGTTCTTAATCATTAAAAATGGGAATGTTTTATGTGCATTTGTACCAATTGCTGGACCTGGAATTTGGATAGAGGAGAAAGCAAATTAACACTAGAATATGATTGTTCCTAATTTAGTGCATCATTGAGTCTCACGTTTCCTGCTCTGTGGGTTTCTGCTATGTAAATATTGCGGTGGTGATGCACAATCTGTCTCCACTTTGTGCCAGTAATACTTAAATTAGGGGTCGCCTGAAGGAAGATTTTATGCTAGTTGCGGCATTGTCAGTTAATTATCTTAAAGGTTATTTGCTATAATCCAGTTTGCCTCTTTTTGAAAGGAAAAAAAAAAAAAAGTTGCAGCTAAACGTGTTTATCTTCGTTGCAGCCAAGCCCGGGCCAGTTAAAAAGCAAAGTCCGGGTGTCGGAACGGGGAGTTGGGGGTGAGCGGGAGCGGTTCGCGTGTGCGTGTGTGCCATTCAAGTGGGAGACAAATCTCTTCGGCAGTGAAGTTCGTATATAAGACTGTGCATAGGGTCTCACTTTTGCCCATGCCGTATAAAGGTTTTCTGTACGTTTTCTCGCTTTCCGGTGGGTAGGAATAGATTGGGGCGCGTGCCTTCCCCGTCCCCCTGCGTTTCTGATACCACAGATGTTGTGCATTAAAAATGCTAAAAAGTTCAAAGCAGAAATGATGCTTTCATCTCAGGGTAAAAGTGTGACAAGGTATTTGCTGTTGCTCTGCCCTTCTCTTCGCTAGGCTATCGCATCCCCTCGGTGGCACCTGGGTGTTTCCAACATGTCCATGACTGCGATACCTGGGTGCTGTCCTGAGCAGTTATTTTCAGGATATATGCCTGTGTCTCTTTGTTCTGTTCCCCGATTTTGAAATGTAGCTGTCTTCCTGCAAGCAATTTTAGAAGCAGAAAATGTGAGGCTGGTTTTGCCCATTATTCCGATGTACTTGGCTCTCTTACAAAAGGCGTCGTTGTAAACATACTGCTGCTGCAAACGCGCAGGCAGGTCGATGCAGAAAGAAAGAAGTCAAACGACGTACTCAGCCAAATCTTGTGTCTATTTATGATGTGTATAACACTATGCATTCAGCTGAGGTTAGTGTCAGAAGCTCGGCTAAGGAATATCACTGTCATACGAACAGTCGATGAGGAGACCAGACTAAATTTATCTCTGTCCCAGTATCACACAACCGTGAAGCCAAACATGTTTAACATTGAAGAATTCTGTGTTAGGCCAGCATTAGTCTTTGGATTTGTTTTGAAGCTGTTATTTTACTGACGTAATGCTGGTTTCTTGCTTATATCAGCCATTGCAGGGGGGTTGTTTGGGTATTTTGGATTTCTTTTTTTTTTAATAACTGCTTTTAAAATAGGTTACAAGCTTCTATAATCAGCTGCAAGAACAGACTTGCTGAGGGTTTGTGGTTTGGGCTATTTTTTTAACCAACCAGGTTGCATGTTTCATATATTTTTGCATGCAGACGTCTATCAATAAAACAGGACTGGCAGATTAATATGTGAACTTCTGGAGCTTGTGTATCCCTGCCGTACTGCCGGGCTTCGTAGCAAAATTGGAAAAAGAGTTTTCCATGTAGCGCTGCAAACGTCTTAACCGCGTTTGCAATTTGGTATTATAAACGTGTCAGTAAGAAGAGCTTGGACCGTCTGATTACTTAATTTTTTTTCCAAAGCAAACATATCTCACTGAGGGAGCCTCTTGCTCCGCATCCTAGAGACATGCTAAAATGTAAGTAATAACTCTTCCCCTACCACCTCCTGACAAATACTCCACACAGCGGTTTTAGTAATCCTCGTATCCTAATGAAACACCTCTTCTGTTTTCCTTTTCCTTTTATTATATTAAAGTGTTCATGGCAGTAAGACTAAAAATATAGCTGCGGTTAATATGGTTGAGACTTGCATAGTTTTGCCATGTTATTAATCAAAGTTGAAAGCCTGGAAAAAATAAGTGTGAGGGATTTGTGCGGCTGTTTGTGTGGTAGATGTTACTGGTCTGCAGTCTCTGGGATCACAGATTGTTATTAATTGAGTTTAAAGTTTGATGCCCTTAGTCAACAATATTTTATATTAAAATACAGTAATAAGCTTTTATAATCTATTCCCGTTTGAGAGCTACAATTGCTGTAATAATCTGCCTTTGAGAGAAGACTGAACCAGACTACTTGGTCCTGGGGGCTGAAATGCTTTGATATAGTAGCCCCCAAATGTGAGTACTGAGGTCAGGAAAAATTAGGATCTCAGACGAGCACTGCAGAATTGGAGATGCTATGGCAGTGTCCAAACAGAAGGAAATTAGAGAGCTAACCAGCTAGCCGAAAGTGTTTGGGCTTACTTTACGGAGATGGTCCTGTCTGGGGGCTTGTTTCGGTTTGGCTTCTAGGTTGTTTTGGTTCTGACATTGTTTTTTTGACATTTCTAATCTGACTGAAAAATAGCATATCTAGGAAATAAATGTGTGTTTTGGACAATTAGAAGACAAATGTTGAAAAAGTACATTTTGCATTTTATACAACTATTTATTAAGTGCTCTCTTTTGTCTAGAACTTCGAGATCTAAAAATGAAAAGTGCTTAAAAAGTATTATTTCTGCATTATTCCAAATTTTTTCCAGTAGAATCACATTACTAAGGGTTGTGATTTCCAAAATTTAAAAATTCATCCTAAAGAAAGCAGGGGTAGCTGTTGGGCAAATCTACATATAAGATACATGTCAGACTGTGTTCAAAAATTAAAAAGAAGGGTAATAAACATTGTTCTGATAGTCTAAAGGACAGTTTCTGTTCTAAATTTCTGAAGTATTTGTACCGCATTAGGCAGGAAAATGATCTTATAAATCCAGATTAACTGAGTCCAGGGGGTAGAGTTAGCAGCAGAAGCTGCTAGCTTATTTCAAGAAAAAGATCTCACGTCTGTCAATGAAGGTGCCATAGTCTTTACTACGTAAGTAACTAACTCCTGCATTTACATTTCCAATACACTGGGTACAGGAATGTAATCTCTTCTATGTGTAGTTTGTGTTTATATACGACAAGAAAGTAAGACACTGAAAATGCATTTTTGAGCCATTCAACTCATAAATACATCAGGCACAGTGTCATTATCGTAACGAGATCTTCCCAACTTGTCTGGTTTTTAAACAAAATTCCGACAGAAAGAAAAGCAGAAGAGTAAAGTAAGAGGTCGCTTACACATTTAGCTCATGTACTAATTTATAAGTGCTTTCAAAGCACCCGCGCGTTAAACCAGGGAGTAGCTAAATGCTGCCGACGACGTCGCCTGTCAGGTAAGGATTCTGTGGAGTTAAGGTAAGTAATTCACAGTCCCGAGCCGTCATGAGGGTTGAATATTTTAGATCCCACGGGGCAAAACAGAAGAAATATCTGTACATGCCACATACGAATGCACAGAGTGCTGCTTAGAAGATCTGTAGCATATGTTTCTTGCATTATATTCTGTGCCATTGCATATCGTGTTCCCGGTGGCTGAGGAATAATATATAGGAACTCCAGCGATTTGATAAACCGTACAGTTTGTTTTACAGACCTTTCCAGGATTATGAAAAATCTTAGGAATGCGTTTATTTACACAGCATCTACTCAACAAAGGAATGGAAATTTCCAGCAGTGGCTCCCTTATAATGCTCTTTGTTTAGGAAAAGCT